CAGCTCTGAACACAAGATAACAAAGTGATGATAACAAAGTGTCAACAATACTGTTCCCTTCTCAAGGCCCTTTTGGGTGCCTGCCTCGTTATCTGGGCCGGTGTCGGTACAGGATCTGCTCGGGTGCAAGATCGGCTCGGGGTCCGTCGACTGCCGATGACGTCTAAGTAGTTGATTGGCTGAACATGAACCTCACGGAATTACGTAATCACGTTACGTTGTTATCACGTTACGTTGGTCCAGGCAAATCTTTCTATTGGAAAGATGGACAACTTTTACAAAGAAATCCATTATTACCTCTTTGAAAATACACTTTTAGCATAGAGCTGCATGTATATTAGAGCTGAACGATTAACTGCATGTGCAATTAAATTGCGATGTGACAAAAGGAGATTTTCTAATCTCAAAGGCTGCAATTTGGCAGCGAGTGGTTAGCGCAACGCTAATATACATGGAAAAACCCATAGGAATGCTAATGCTAATATCGCCGATTACATTATTACAAATTATGAATTAGAAACGTGCCAAATGATTACATTTGGAGTCTAATAGAAAGTAAAAATACAATCAATCAAATAAGTACAGACAGGTATTTTAGTAAAGCCAGGAGATTTTCTAATCTCAAAGGCTGCAATTTGGCAGCGAGTGGTTAGCGCAATGCTAATATACATGGAAAAACCCATAGGAATGCTAATGCTAATATCGCCGATTACATTATTGCAAATAATGAATTAGAAACGTGCCAAATGATTACATTTGGAGTCTAATAGAAAGTAAAAATACCATCAATCAAATAAGTACAGACAGGTATTTTAGTAAAGCCAGAAAACTTTTAACTCCAGAGTTTTAGCTAGCAGCTATGAGCGTAACTGAACTACTCATGGACAAGACGTCAAAAACTCTAAACACAAAATACTTAACTAAACGGGACACACTTCTTTCCTGCAAATACAATTTCACAGGTGTTGCTAATACCTATGATTCTTCAAGGGATGTGCTCAAAGAGGAGTTCAACATTATGAATAAAATAGTGTTTTATTTTACAAATACCATTATAAACACAAACTTACGTCTTAAGAAACATTATTTTAATAACGAAACTGCTAAATTCTTTCCAACAGTATAGATGTGTAGTGTATTTTGTCCGAGTGGGTTTGCCGTACTTTGACGTCATCGGCAGTCGAAGGACCCCGAGCCGATCTTGCACTCGAGCAGATACTGTACCGACACCGGACCGGACTGTTAATAGGAGGACTGCTTCAGCTTATATGAGTCAATCATTCGTATAATAATAATAATAATAATAATAATAATAATGTTTTGATTAATCTTTGCTTAAATCAATAATGTTTGATCTGTGCTTGAATTACTGGAATGAAATAAATTAATACATTGAAAGATTTATACATGGATCAGTAATGTTTGATATGACAAGGCCATCATCATCAACACTCACACAAGGTTCATTAGAAATAAATCAAAGTTAAGTTAATCATCAGGACACATAGATATTTCTTTACCCCAGATCAGAGCATCCGGTATCAGAGAAGATGTGATGTCTGAGGTTGTCTTGGTAATATCCCTTAACATGTCAAGCCCCGATTGGCCACACAAATCATAATATGAGAATTTTAAAACAGAATCACTCTGATGATTCAACAAATGGAGTCGCATTCCAGCTCTCATCATTCAGCACTTCAGTTCTAGAGAAAGAGCTCCGGAATGGCCATCCGGAGCAACACTCTTTAACCTTGAGCAATTTTGGCAAGGTGCCAAAACCATGCTAAAAGCTGTTTACTGCTGACACAGCAAACGGTTCCTGCAGAACAAAGCTGATATTGTTCCGACTCCATAAGAGTCCTCCGAGACGCACGGTTCCATCCATCTGTTATGACCCGGGACATCTCTGGACTGGAGAATGGGTGCTACGGGTATTCTACAGCCCTCGGTGCCAGAGGTCATCCGACCTCTCTGACCTTCGGATCCACGAAGAGGGTCTCCAAGAAAGGGTGAAGCAGACACACAGATAGCATCTGATGCCTTTTTGATAAGAATCAACTTCATAGCTTAACGCAAACCAAATTCTATCCCTTTTTCACCCAGAACTCAGCTCTTCTCGATACAAAAGTTCTGACAACATCACATTCACACATAGGCACCACACATCACATCTCATCCACCTAGATCCATCCATCACAGTAAATATTAGTTAACTTGTCATGTTTTAATTGTTTGGAAAATAAATTCCTGAATCAAGACAAAGTGTTTACAATCCCTGAATAAACAAAGAATCCTAAAATCTCTGATTAAACATGCAGGTTGATATTCTATATTTATATAGAGTATCACAGCTTATTGGTCATAAGTAGACGTAATATATTAAGCTGTTAAAGCACTTAATTTACCAACTCCTACAATACCCAGGAGTTCTGTGTCGTTGTCTTGTTTTTCTTATTTCTTTTTCTTGTTAAAGAGCAAGTCAACCCCTACCAGAGTCTAACTCCACTCCCACTTCATGTTTGAAAAATGCAACAAATGCTGTTGCCTGGCAGACCGAGAGGGCGGAGCTGCTAACAAATACACACACACACGCGCTCTCGACAGCATTGTGACATCATAATGTACCAGTGTACATCATAGCATACCTCTTAGCCAATAGCGGTGGCAGATATAAATTCAAATACGGTGCAGAGTTTTTACCTGACAACGGCACAACACTGCCAGTTTTAGGCAGAATATTTACATTTTAACTAAGATGCACTGAAGTGCCAAAGTATTGCCTACACGTGTCTGCAGCACAATTAGACACTCGTTTATTTAGTTTATCAGCAAAAAAAAAGTTTATTTGGGGTGACTTGCTCTTTAATGAGTTTGGCTAACTTCTCCATATGTCTTTGTTTCACTTTTGTTATTTATTTTTCCTGTTGTTCCATCATGTGTTCATTTATTTGTTCCTCTGTTTTTTTGTATCTAACTCCTAAGCATTTTTGAGATCCAGGCACCTCCAGTTCACTTTCCTCTTGCTTCTGTTTGCTATGATATTCCTTATCCTTTCTTTGAATAGTGCTTTCCTTGTCTTTTCCGTTATGTGGTGTGCTGTCTTAGTCAGTGTTTCAGCCATGGGCTCGTTGGAGTTGTGTCTTCATCCCAGCATCTTAAAGAGGGTCGGCACACCATCAAAAAATGTAGCTCCACCCCTAGTCAAGATTTGAAAAATGCAATGGAAGTTGGTGTTGCCAGGAGGCACAGAGTAGCATGACCAAGTGTGGAGAATTTCCATCCTGGAAGGGAGGGGGAGTGGGAGGAGACTGTACCGATGACGTGAAATTGCTCCAGCCCCAGTCAATCACAAGTTTAAAGTGCAGTAGCTGCTGTTCTGCCACAGGGGGCAGCACTAAGATGTTTTTAGACCTAGATTCTGGATTGAATCAAGTTTACACAAACATGTCAAAAAATGCACCGAAACAGAAAGACTGCATTTGTAAAGACCCAATTATACAGTTAATTAGCAAAAAAAATTGAAATTTTAGGGTTTTGTTACTCTTTAAGTTGAGGTGTAGATGGTTCCTTAAATGTGCACGTTTTAGATGTAACTTTTCCAGCAGTCAGAAGTCTCTTGTTCCTTGTTTTCCGTATTCTTCTTTTAACATCTTTGTTACTCTGGTATTGTGTTGGTTATACAATTTCATTTTCTTTTGTTCTTTATTATACACAGAGTTATAAGGGTTTGTTGTTACTTTTGCTGACATGTTTTGACTTTTCACTATCGTCTTCGTCAGAGATGTTGGTGGTGTCACTTCCTTTTATCTGCTGCAAGCAGAAGGCAATCATTTTTGGAGCCTGGAGTGAACTCCTGGATTGTTCAATAGAGTGGTGCACCATTGGGATTGCAATAATCATTCTTCAATAATCATGGGCCCCTGAACCTTCTAGGAGAATGGCCAGCCAGTAGGGCTGCAAATTTTTTTCCCCTGGACAACGACTGACATTTGACTATTGTACTTTGTTTTTTTTTTAATAATTTACTTTCGCTCTAAAGAAGTTGTCAGTAGTATTCCTTTCTTGACAAGTTCCAGAAGCTAACCTAATTCTTCTGACAGTGTTAGTTAAGAGAATAACAGCCCAAGCCCTGATTAGCGGGAGGAGGTTACATCTGGCATTACATACATAACAATGCAAACTGTTGTACTAAAGAAAAACCTGAGACAATCATACTACAAAGATTGAACCTGTTGCATAAAGTTTAATGGCTACAGTCCCTCTGGTGGCCTCAACCCAAAGATAACCCTAATTTATACTTCTCCGTCTGCGTCAGGACGGACGCACTCTATGCCATTATGCGCCCACGCAAGAGCCCTCCAACAAGCTCGCAGAGGAAGACGGAGACTTGCCCCAATCTTATCTATCCGTCTACAGAGACTGCAAGCTTGTGATTGGTCTGGATGCCACCTCCTGTAAATTCATCAACAGCACCATCTTTGCTACTTCAACAAGTAAAGAGATATTTAGCGGCAGACACAGAACCGATTGAACAACGCATCACAGACAAAGTCTGAAAATATGAACGTCTATTCACCCGTGACTGAAGGAGTACAAAGATACGCAGCAAACGTTTTATTCGTAGACAAAAAAGACGAGAAACACGAGTGTAGAGGTGCTGATTGCAGGAAGTGGTGAAGGGGAATGAGGGACTAATTTGTTGGTGTTAAAACGTCTCTGAAACACATTAAAACAATGTAAATACTAGTAAATACACTATCGTGCACCGGATACCTCAGAACAGTGCTACGCCCTCTGTTGTCCTGACGGGGAACTGCTTTGCAACAATCTCCAGCTTACGGAGAAGTCTTGACAGCAAAACGTCTCTGTCAACGCGTGTGCGTGTCTCCCTCATGGAGCTGATGGAGACGTATGAACTGGGCCAGGGCTGGACTGGGACAAAAATTCAGCCCGGGCATTTTGACTGGAGACCGGCCCATCACCTGTTTTTTTTGGAAAAGACATTAAAGTGCATGTCAAGTGTGCCTCAGAGTCTTACCCCACCCACGTATCAATTTTGAAAACTGCAACATTAGTAGGCGTTGCCTGGAGGACCGAGAGGGCGGAGCCGTGGCAGTGACGAAGAGACGGCTAACTAGACGAAGCTAGCTCCCTTCACTCTGAGCAGTCATTAGAAGTGGAGGACGTTTCTCCCCCTCCTTACCCAGACACTCGAGAAGAAAGGGACCAAGTCTATTTGGAGGAGACAAGCGGACATGAGCCTTATTGTTTTGAGCTTGTGAGTTGCCTGAAATTACTGGAACCGACCCAACAGACCCATCTCTGAACGTAAGTAGCCGTTAGCCATAGCATTGGATTAGCTGCAGGGTTTGTCTCCATGGCCCTAAAAAGCTAGTATTCAGCATGTTTTAGAGATTTATCTGCATCAACACACCTGGTTTTAATCAGCAACAAACAGCTGAGCTGCTTAACAGCTTATCTAACCTGTTAAAGCAGGAAAATCCACTGAAACGTGCTGGATAGCAGCTCTCCAGGAGATCTGGGCTCAAGCTAGTCTGCTGCATAAAGTTATGAAAATATACCATGAGAAAATTATTCTGTAATGTGTTCAGCCCATTAAAACTGCCCTGATTTCATTATTTATTTACTGATACTAGCTGCTCTTGGTTGCAGGTGATCCTCTGGTGTCTGCAGCTGGTCTCCTGCTGATGTCGTCGGGATCAGGAACTTCCAGAAGAATGTGCCTTTCAATGACTCTTTCCCCCTTATTTGTTATATTAATTAAATAAATCTCAATTTATATATTTCCTGTTTTTGTTCATGTCCATAAATACTTAAACATGCTTGAAATTAAAACGAGCTTTTAACAGTGAGGTGCTAGTTTAGTTCATCACAATAGAGCTAGTTAAACATGCGACAATGTGATAATTCAATTAATGTAATTTATAAATATCCATTAAAATATCAAAACTGGAATCAAAATGAGATATTTGGCAGCACAAAAAACTTGTCAAACACAATATTTATTATAATAATTGTAGGCAGACAGGAGACAGAGCTGATGGAGGTTCTCAGTCATCGAAGGATGGCTGAAGGCTTTCCAGGAACAGGAGATGTGGTGTTGTCTCTTCTCTCTCTATTCTGCCAGATGAGCTGATAGGTTACAGGTGTGTGAGGACATCCTCATGCTGTCATAACCAGATGACAGGAGTTATCAGGTGATCAGCCAGGCTAATGATGAGATGCAGAAAGAAAACAAATCATGCAGAAAGAAAACAAATCCAGGACAGTGTACAGTAATAAAAATAATATGTGGTGTTGCTTACCTTATGTGCTCTTATAGAGTTATTAACGTGTGCCTGCCTCATGGTGTAGAGTCCATATTTTGCTGAGTGTCCTGCAGTAATGCAGGTTATTAGTTAATTTACTTTTGATAGCAAAAACAAAATATTTAATTTAAAAGTTATTTACCAGGTGAATCGGCTCACACGTCACCACCTGGTGGTGACCACCAAGTGTCACAGGGCCAGAATCAGTAGCCTCCTTCATGATGTAATCACATACTTATTTAATTGTTAATATCTTAAAAATTCAGAAATGTTTTAATTTTTTTTTACCTTGAACAGTTCACTGAGCTTGCACTGTCACTGAGGTGGAAGCTGGAATCAACAGCAGACACCTCACACCGTGGTCTTTTCAGGAGGTGTGGATGCTCTGGGACCTTCTGGAAGATGAATTTCTGTCATGGTCCCTGTGTCACAAGACACTGAGGCTGTGAGCTCTATAAAAACAAAGAAGCAGCACATTTATAAATGTTTAAAAGAGCATAAAATCACTTGTAACAATCTGTAAAACAAATTAAAACTAGAAGGTAATAAAATGTTTACATAGAAGATTATTAAAAATAATTCACCTTTGCTACGGGTAACACCACGTCAGCCTGGACAAGTGCATTCTTGCAGACTACTAAATCAGTCTGACAGCCAGTGTCTTGGGTAGATTTAGCCTGAAAAAAAATAGAAGCACATTGATGTTTATAAAGTCAGATAAAATACAAAAGAAACTGTCCCATATAGGCGCTTTATAACATTCCTAGTGTGTGATGTTATTATAAAGTAAAAGTCAGTCACATATGATGTGGAGACCCTGAAATGCGACCTCCTGAACAGAATTCCTCACGGAACCGGGTCACGCTGTGCTGGAGTTCACGCTGTAATGCTGTCTGTCAACTAGTGCTGCGTCAGTTTAGAGTCACTGTTGCTGAATTACCGACTGACACAAAAACAACCCGAATTTTCTCTGAGCCTGACAGTCATGTGGACCGTTTTGTCGGCCAGGGCTTCGAGATATGTTCCGATTCGCCGCTGATTCTAACCTTACATCCCGTTCCACATTTTGTGAACTTGACAAAATAGCCCGAAGGCAGTGCAGACTGATATTAGCTAAATGGAGTGAACCACGTCTCTCAAACTTTGCATTTAGGTAGGAAATTGTCTTTAGAAGATGTTAAAACTTTTATTTAGCTTACTCACCTCAGACTGTAGCCCGTCATGGTGGGGGAGCAGAGTCGGTGGGCTGCATCTAAATCGCGGAAGAGCCACGGTGGGCACAGCCTCCCTCTTGGAACGGAGACGTGCAGAATCGCGGGTAAAATGCTGGTTGCAAACTACAGCACCAGGCGGGAGCTGAATCTTTTCCAGACACGCAACCACTGGCGCCTAATTTCTAAGTCCAGCGGAAAGGAGTGCAACCCGACAGAGCTCCGCAACCATACTACACTACACCATCTCACCATGCTAACACGATATGGAGCACTAAACCCGAACTACTTTCCTAATTACACTAACAGCCAAACAGTAACTAAACTACAATATCCAACAGCCAAGCTAACACTAAATAAGTATGTATAACACTAAAAGCTATGCTAAAGACTAGGATATGCTAATGCTATATGCTAATGCTGAACTACGGCTAGCCTCCTACACTCTCATGCAAATCCAACTCCCAACTCGCCACAAGGCGTGGCCGAGACTCCCGATGCTTTTATAACGTTGACACAGAGCTGCTACGTAGTACTCTACTGGATTACGTAGTATCTTACTCTTTAGCCATTGGCTAAAATTTATTCAAAATGAGTCAAATTCTATGTTTTAAGCTGAAGGTGGAGCTATACTGTGGTATTTAGGCAGAATTTTTAATTTTTTAAGAAAATGCACCAAAATGCTAAAATAATGAATACACACATTTAAAACACTATTAGACACTCATTTATACAGTTCATCAGCAAAAAAAAGTTAATTTAGACGTTACTTGCTCTTTAAGCCTTACGCTGTTTCTGACACACACCAACGTACACTTTCTTATTGGTAGTATTTATGTATCAATCTAATAAACGTAAACCTACACCATCCTTCCTATCCTGGTATTCTAAAAAGTAGGGTTGGGGGTAACTGATTGTTTTTAAAATGATTATTCTGACGATTATTTTATCGAATAGTCGACTATTCTAATGACTATTTAGATGATTAATCTAGCGATTACTTTTCTATTGCACAATTAATAAAAGCCAAAAAATTCTCAAATAAATTCCTCCAAAAAATTGATAAGTTGTTACTGTAAGAGAATAAACACTACAGGCCTTCCATTTTGTATAACACTGCTTTTATTGTGTTGCGGTTGTTTATGTTCTGGTGACGTGTAGAACTTGGGAGTGCAGGCTGCTGCCTGAGAGGTGGTTGGAGACGGAGTGTCTCCATGCTGCTTTGTTTTGTTCACTTATGTGCATGAGGCAAGTGGTGTTACGACCCTTCCTGGGGAGTCACGTGTTTCTCCTATTTTAACTGTAAATCCTTCTAGCTGTTATATTTATAACAAGAAACAGATATTCGGACAGAATATTTTCACGTTTATTCGAATATGATTGTGGAACACACCCAGCATCATAATAAATGAAGTAATATTTATGCCAATTTAAGCCTTTATGGGTGACCAGGACTCTGTGTTTATGAATGTGGAAGACACCCAGCATCCTGTGATGGCACTAATAACATCAAGAGATAATAAATAAGGTAATATTTAGGTCAATTTAACCCTTTACACGTGACCAGGACACTGTAATCAATTTTTGGCAAGGGAAATGATCATTTGTTGCCATTTTTGAAGTGTTTATGAATGTGAAAGACACCCAGCATCCTGTGATGGCACTAATAACATCAAGAGATAATAAATAAAGTAATATTTAGGTAAATGTAACCCTTTACACGTGACCAGGACACTGTAATCAATTTTTGGCAAGGGAAATTATCTTCTTTTCTTTTTTTTTTTTTTTTTTTGCCATTTTTGGGGTGTTTTTGATGACACAGTAGGCAGTATGAGTACAGTAACATCAACAGATACATAAAACCCTTATTTGGTCAATTTTAGCCTCCATGAAAATCTTAGCGATTCAATCACTTTTTGGCAAGTAAAATGCCATTTTAGTTGTCTACAATTAAATCATCAATAAAGAATTTAAAGATATTTTGAGGCATTTCTTATAGGGAAACGGGAGGGTGTAGTCTCTATTTGGCAAGTGACAATCTTAATTTTATGTGCTGAAGTGCTTTTATCTTGTTACTTTTAAATAGAGCAACGTAATGAATAGCAACCTACACAGTGTCATTGTAAAGCCAAAGCTTGATCATTTTAAATACTTTTTTTCAAGTAAAAATGTGCCCCAAACTAGTTAACTGTGGCTCCATGTCAAGTGGACTAAAGAAAGGAAGGGGAAAAAATTAAATCGCTGGAGAATTGTTTATTTCCATTTATACAACGTTTACATTCAATACAGGGTGCCATTTTACATTGTTTATTTATTTTTTTAGTATCAAGGCTGTAACATAAAGAAAGCCAGTTCTTACCACAAAGTTTATGGCACAAACCATCTTTCAATCGCAAATATTGCAAAAAGGATTAATATATCCTCATTGTGAACGTTTAAGACAAATAGCAACACTTAAAACAACTTCCGAACTGGAAAAACTAATGTGGCAAGGTGCAGAAAGGAGTGCCCGGGCGGGATTCGATCCTCAGACTCCCGGGTGAGAGTCATACGCTCTAACCAGTCAGCATAGGGACATCTCCTTGGCCAAGTAGCCAGGGCGCATGATCTATCGGGACATTGTGAATGCTCACACTGCCACATCTTCCTCCCTCTTTCCACAAGCACGTCCTCGTGCTCCCGCGCAGGGTGCCACAAACACTGCCACACTAATATCCGCGATAAACATCTGTTTAAGTACCGGAAGAGGTTATCTTTGCTTTCCGAATGTCCATATTGCTAGATATGCTGAGTTTTGGGGCGAAATCCTGGGGAATTTTGTCTAGAAATGCAATTACCTAACCGTGCGCGATCCCGCGGTGGCTAATCATTTTTTGGCAGCGAGTCAATTTATGGCACAACACCAGCTCGGGTTTCTCCTCCTCCTCCCTCTTTTCTTCTCCAACCTGTCGCTGGGCTGAGGCTCCATCACTTCCTAAATTGATTTTACTTGAACCTTCACTACCAAACAACTGTGAGATTTTAACACATGTGCCAGCATCAGCCTGAAGGGCCAGTTTCTTTTTTAGTCGAATTTTCTCCGCTCCTCCTTTCCGTTTTTTGTTCTCCATTTTGTAAAGCTCGTCTGTCTGTTTACTGAGATTCACAAACAACTGGCGGGTGCATCAGACCTCTGGCTATTGGTCCAGCCCAGAGTGTATTATTATCAATTGGCCAATCCACCAACTTTTACGAGGCGTCGCGTGGGGCGGCGCGGACAAGTTGTCCGCAACAACTAGAGGCCAGGAAAAAAAAAAAAAACAGACACCGGCCCATAAAAGATGAAAGGGTCGGCCCAGCGGGCAGTTGCCCGCTATGCCCTATGGTCAGTCCAGCACTGAACTGGGCTATAGATCTATTGGCTCCAACTGGCTTGACTGACAGGGACTGGTTAGTTCACCTTCAGTTAAGAGGTTGACTCATTTGATGTAATGCTGACTTAAATACCACCATCCTAAGGGTCCTTACAGGTCATCTTTCCTCTCAGCTTTAGCATCTCAAAGAACTTAAAGCAGAGGTAGTTCAGGTGTGGTCCCTGGGATGTTTGTGACCCTTACAGTGTCATGCACATTAGAGGCTCACTTATGCCCAGACCACACTGTGTGATTTTTGGCCGTCTGAAGCCTGATTTATGCTTCTCCATCTGCGTCAGTGCGGAGACACGCAACGTCCTTGCGTAGGGCTCCGGCAGGCATGCAAGTACGTACGGAGTCGAGCCCACTTTTTTAAGCATCCGTCGAACGAGACGGATTACGCAAGCTTGTGATTGGTCAGGACACCGCTGTTGTTTACAGCGCCGCCATTGCAAAGAGAGCCGAGGATAACAAGCGGCAGACACGGAGAAGCTTGAAGAATACCTCGCGAAAAAACTCTAAAAATATGAACGTTTCATCTTCCCGTGACTGGAAGAGTGAAGAGATGCGCAGCAAGCGTTTTATTTGTGGACGGAAATGACAGGAAACGTGGGTTTAGAGGTGGGGAGCGCATGAAGAGGTGGGAGAATGAGAGACAAATATGTCCGTGTTAAAAGTCTCTTATATACACAAAAAACACAATATAAACACACTATCTTGGACCGATACATGACAGGATACCACAGAACAGCGCTGTGCCCTCTGTTGTCCTGCCGGGCAATTGCTTTGCAAGGCTCTCCAGGAGACGGAGAAGTATGAGAGCAAAACGCTTCCGTCAATCCGTGCGGGTCTGTCCCTTGCGGGGCTGACGGAGAAGCATAAACCAGGCTTTAGCCAAATCCCTCATTGTGAGCAGAATCTTGACAACAGAGGTGACCATGAGGATGATTAGCATATCTGTAGATGTTCAGTGTGACCGGCTCCGCGACAGCTTTTTGAGCCATCTCACGACCAAACTCAGCCTCCAACAGTTTGTGTGTGTGTGTGTGTGTGTGTGGTCCTGGATGGTAAGTTTTATTCTGTGGTCTCCTTTGCCTTGTTCCACAGTGTGTAGGTGCGATGCGGTGGGAACTGTTCCAGGAGGGTGTGATAAGCAGACGGGGGAGTGTTTTTGTCGGCACGGTGTCACTGGACCACGCTGTGATACCTGCTCTCGAGGACATTGTGCTTCCTTCCCTGCGTGTGAACTTTGCCCCTCCTGCTTCTTCACACTGGACTCCCAGAGGATGAATATTAGCTTAGCCCTGGAGACACTTTTTAGCAGATTCCCTGATGTTCCTGGAGGCCCAGAGAATTTTGGAAACCTGGAGGCGAGTGTGAACCTGATCAAGAGTTCTATCTCCCCTTCACCCAGTACCATTAGACAACTTTCTGGTGCTCTGGTCCAGCTCAACAAGCTCAGGTAAGGAACTACTTTTCTTTGTACTTGAGGAACACTAATTCAGCCTGCTGATCTCCTTATGCCCTGTAGAGATGAGTTGGGAAGGGTTGACAGTAAAGTCCCGCCCACACTAAAAACACCTGACCTGGAGTCCGAGCTGGACGAACTACAGGCTTTGTTCGACAGACTGGTACTGATGTATGAAACCAAGAGAAGTGCCTCAGGAGGATCCTCAGGCACATTTAACACAGGTCAGAACCACTGAAGTATTATGGGATGGCTCACTGGCTGAAGCTGTCATGTTAAAGAGATGGTCCATATTTTTAGGAATGGGTTTCTGTGGAAATATGAAAAATGACCATCTGTTCACTTGGTGTGGTTTGGAGAAATGTGGACGAATTCTGACCAGATGAGCTGACGACTAATCACTGAGAGGAAGATGGATTTCCACCCTAAAGTTTCTATATCAGGCCGTTTTACACTTTACCGAGCAGCGATAGGCCATCGACCGCCAACCTGGCCCACTTGTGCCGAACCTGAGTTTTCTTACTGCTGTGGAGTTTTATATTGCTTTGTTAATCTTTTATAATAAATAAATGAGCGGGGGTTACATCACATCATACCCTGGTGTAGAGGCTGATAAACATGGACTGATGTTAGGGATGAGTCGTTTAGAAACTGGTCAGAACAAGTCTATTTATCTCCAAACTGAGGCTTTTCAGAACAGAGAGGAACTCTAATAACCCTTAACCTCTGTGTTTCTGCAGGAGCATTTTCTGCCATCAAAACTGCCTACAAGGACTCAACAGATGCAGCCAAAAAGGTGAATGCCACTGAGGACATAGTCAAGAATGCCTCTGACCTCCGAGAACAGACCAGTAATGTTTGGGAAAGAGTGCAACCAGGGAACACCAGAGACCTGAAAGGTCTGAACAGCAGCATGGCCTCCCAGCCGGACCTGATTCCTGCTGCTAAACAGGTGTGAGCTTCAGCCCAAACCAGACACCGCATAAAAACAACCCCTCACCCCTCATATTTGTAGGAGTAAACCAATTTAAGGTATAATGAAGATCAGGCCACGTAACAACTTCTCCTTTAACAGATTTAAGTCCATGCCTGACTTTGAGTCTCTGTTCCTGCCAATCCACACCAAATCTGTCACATGTAGTTACAACCCAGAACTCCCCAGGTTTACCCAACCCTACAGTCACTGACAACACGAGTCACTTGTGATGGTTCATAAACTGTTCCAGATCTTTGTGACGTTGTCTTCCAGGTATGTGGCAGTGTTCGGTCAGATGTCTGCAGCCCCTTCCGATGTGAGGGTGGACCCCTGTGCCCCCCAGAGAGAGACCAACGGTGTGAGAAAGGAGCAGAGTGCATAGGTGCTCTGCCTCTGGGCAACAGAGCAAATACCGATGTGACGGTTGTGAAAGACCAACTAGACAAACTTGGTAAGAAGATCACAGAGGCTGCAGCTCAGGTATGCTCCACAACACAAACACCAAACCCTTTCCCTTTATTACCAAGCCAGTCAGCAGATGCTAAATCATTTTCTTTTTTGTTTCCATGCAGCTTCAGAAAACTCAAAAGACAACAAATCAGGTCAGACAGTCTGCAAAGGACCTGTCCAGCAAAATAAAGCAGACCAGAAATGAGCTGGAAAAAGATCTAGAGGAGATGAGCAACACTGTGAAAGAGCTAAAGAACTTCCTGTCAGGTATAGAATCACCTCTCCGTGGAAGCAGCAGCTATGTCCTATTTATGATGTTGCTGGTTTAACTTGTACTGATGTCTGGGTGTTTAGACCCATCGTCCAACCTGACTCAGATCCAGGAGGTGAGTGACTGGATCCTAAAAGCCAAGCTGCCACTCGGCCTGTCTGAACTGTATGTGAAGATAGGAGAGCTCAAGAATTTATCAGCAGATCTTACAAACAGCACACATGTGCTGAAGGAGGCGGAGCCACAACTGGACACAGCAAGAAGACTGCTGCAAGACGCCCGAGATGTCAGGTAAGAACCCCCACACACCTTTACACTCCCAGGTGCAGGAATGAATCGTACCTGGCAGACGCCACTATGAGTAAATGTTCACACATGAGAAGAAAAAGTGTTTGTGTGAACAGGGACCAGGCACTGAGAGCAAAGGCTGACGTAAGCCAACTGCAGACAGACCTAGACACGACTAATGGATCCATCTACGACCTGGAGAAAAAGCTACAGGACAGCTTGGACATGATCGGCGACCTGAACAAGACCCTGACCCAGGTAGGAAGCAGAGACACCTGCCATCTGTTTTTACTGCCCAGAACCCAATGCTATAGAAAGTTTTCTCGTGGTCCAGACGAAAGGCCAGCTGAGCCCAACAGAGGAAGCGCTGGTTGATGTCTCATCACTCATAAAGCCATTGAAACCCCTACTGGAGGAGCTAAAGGAGCTGCTGAAGAATGGACCCCAGCAGGCCCAGGATGCTCAGAAAGACGCTGGCCGAGCTGAGGATGCAGCCGCAGCAGCTGCCCAGGTGAGAGAGCTGATGTACCTGTTCATGTCGGTGTCACAGCTAAGTCTCGGATTGGTGTCTGGAGGAGGAGGTACCCTAATGGCAAAGGACCATATTCATGAGGTGTGTGCATGTTGATTGTTGGCCTGTGTTCCGTGTTCAGAATATCCACTAATTGGACCTGGAAAGAATAAAACAGGAACAGCAAATAGACAAAATGGGTAAATTCATCTCATGAGATTCTGTAAATAATATTTTTCTTTTCTTCTATTCTAGTCACAAATGTTTACAAATAACTTTTCCACTTTTTCCTCATCTGTAAAGTTGGACTATCATGGACAGTGAGAATAGCTCCAAGCGCTGTGGATGCACGCATCACCATGTTTGTGTAAACAGGAGTGAACTTCAGGGTCTGGTTCAGTGAGGTCCTTTGCATTATGAGCAACAAGTGAATGAAAATATGTATCAGAGAGAAAGACTAGTCCTTTGAACCGTGTTGTGCTGCTACGATCGAGACCTGAGGTCAGCCGGGTGGAGGTGTTATGGAACGTATTTCCGTTGGCCGGAACAAGGATGGACACATTGGGTCGTTTTGTGCACGGGGATATAGAATGTTCTTGACTGATTGTCCCCCCACCCCAGCATGACCTTGCTGTCTGTATAGAAATTAATTTTATGTTAAAAAAAAGTCCTAAAGAGGGCTTCTGCTTCCGGGCTCATGGAGTGAGTTTCCAGAAAATGTGAAGGTCAGAAGTTAGAGTGCGGAATTTTCAGTTTAGAGTGGTGAGAGACTTTTTTTTTAATTTAAATATTCTCAAACAAATTAACCGTACGACCACAATGTTTGGAGTATATTCATGATTTATAGCTCAAAACGAAGATATATCCGTTAGCTGCAAGCCAGCATGTGTCTCATTTCAATCAGACCTACGGTTTTCTCAGGACAATGTCAGAAATGGAGCAAAGGAGCGTCATTGCTCCTTTCTCTGCCCATTATAATTTTAGAGATTTTTTCTGAAAATCTCAAGCCGTACCTCAACTTCTACCTGTGATTTTAGAAAAACTGTAATAGATATGTAAAATATTTTTTTAACCTTTAATAGCTGAAAGTCTTGTCAGTTTGTTGAAACTAGGGCTGCAACAACGAATCGATAAATTCGATGAAAATCGATTACTAAAAGCGTTGGCAACGAATTGCGTCATCGATTCGTTTTGTCACACAACTCTTCCAAAAGCCCCCCCCCCCCCCCCCACCCCCCCCCCCACCCCCCCACCCCCACCCCTTCCCGCCCGCCGGCGACCATGGCGCAGATTGGAGCAAGTCAGATCAGCGCAAGGGAGAGCCGGCAGGTGTTTGGAAGAGGAACATGGCAGAAGCAGCGATACCCAAAAAAGTAAGAACTTCTAAAGTTTGGGAGCATTTTCAGTTAAATCAGGCGAAGACATTCGTCACCTGCAAGCATGCCGAATCATCAGCGAGGAAGGAGAGAGCTCTGTGTCCGGGTAAGTTAAAAACTTTTCAAAAGTGATTCACCCAAGTCCCAGATTATTACACAGGCTAGACATGCCCTAAGCTCGTAAAAAAAAGTCTATAAAATCGTAAGCGCGACGCTATTAGATAAACGGGGGTGGGGGGTGGGGGGGTGGGACTCGCATTGCTGCAAACCGGTTCCGCCGTCACATTCCCGCAGAAATTGGCTGATCACACCGGGGCCAGACTACTAACATGTGGCTTTACAACCACAATGTCCTCGGAAGCGAAAACGCTTTTAAAAGGGAGGGAGGAGTCCTTACTGTTGCTGCAGGCGTGTTGTGTGTGAGTGCAGTTATATACTGGTTAATATATTTTTGGGTTCAGTTGCTTTCATGTGGCCTAATGTGAGTCTATTTGGGATCATTGGAATGATCAGCAGCATTTCTTGATGTGACTTTATGGCAGTTGCCCAGGGCATCATCGCAAGGAGGATGGCATTCATTTACTTTTGTTTTATTTGGTATTTTTTCAGTCATTTTTGGAAATGGTGATTAATTTTGATTAAGTCACAGCCTATGTTTAATTACATTTAAAAATTAGTTGTTTGACATCCCCAGTTATAATAAATGTCTACAGATGAGATCAAACAAAACAGATGAGAATTCCCCTTAAAGAGCAAGTCACCCCCAAATAAACTTTTTTTTGCTTATAAACTAAGTAAATGAGTGTCTAATCGTGCTGCAGACATGTGCCATCAATAATTTGGCACTTCAGTGCATCTTAGTTAAAATTTTAATATTCTGCCTAAAACTGGCAGTGTTGTGTCGTTGTCAGGTAAAAACTCTGCACTGTATTTTAATTTAAATCTGCCACCGCTATTGGCTAAGAAGTATGCTATGATGTAAACTGGTACATTATGATGTCACAATGCTGTCGTGAGCCTGAGTGTGCGTGTATTTGTTAGCAGCTCCGCCCTCTCGGTCTGCCAGGCCAGCCTTTCTCAAATGGGGGTACGCGTACCCCTGGGGGTACGTAAAGAAACTCCAGGGGGTACATCAGAGAAGCAGACTGTGTCTAAAAAAGAGCTTGATCACAGCAGTTGCCTCCCTGCCACCAAGGATGAAAAAGATCCTCAGTGAAGCACAAGCCCCAGTGTCTCACTAAAAAGTCTGTAAAAACACTCCGATCAGTGCAGTAATGTTAAGATTTCAGTCTTCTTTTTGATTTTTAAAAATATATTTTGAGATTTACATTTGTTTTTAGCAATTATTTAAAATGACGTTGATGATTTCTTTTAGAGAACAGATATACTATGATCCCAAAAGAGAACACTTTATGTTGATATGCTTTTTATGAGCACAAATCTTTAATTATAATTAGCTTAATCATTTCTTTGGCCTGTATTTGATTTTTTTTTTATATTTTTAGTTATATATATATATATTCCAAATAGTTCAAGAGATACTACAAAAAATGTGCAGTGTTTTGCACATTTATGGATTTTTCAATGGGTAATCTTATGGTTTTAAATGGTTTTATGGTGACTGTTTTCAATTAACCCTTTGATGCATAATGGTCACTACAGTGGACAGGTACTCAAAATTGTTATTTATTTATTTTTGCTAATAAGCACAGCTGTTGAAGACTTTATTGTATGTGAGCCCCTCCATTTGGACTTCAGAAAGGCAAGCCACCATATTTCATGTTCAGAATGCACGCTGTCCACTGAGATGGACATGTAATAAATTATTTGTAAATTAACAAAATGTTACAAAAAATATTTGTTGAAATTTGTTTCATTCACACCTAAAGATGAATGAAAAAAATTGTTAAAAAAATCATGGTTGAAGATCTCATAATTCATGCATCAGAGGGTTAATTATTCAGAATCACATTTTAGTGATGAAAAATATTTCCAATACATTTAGTTATGGAGTATTAACATTTAAAATATTCAAAATAGTTTTTTTTCACAAATGGTTGAATTTTGTACTTGTTTATCAGTTTCAAAGTTTAATAAATCAGTCACTGAATGCACCTATTTAAGGTCTTGTTTTTTTTACAACCAAAAATGCTTTTGCGCTGATTAGGGGTACTTGGCTGAAAAAAATATATCACGGGGGTACATCAGTGAAAAAAGGTTGAGTACCACTGTGCCATGCAACAGCATTTGTTGCATTTTTCAAACATGAAGTGGGAGTGGAGTTAGACTCTGGTAGGGGTTGACTTGCTCTTTAAGCTGTTTAACTTGGACCAAGCATTTTAGGTCACAGATAGGTGTAGCTTAGGGTCTCTGTCTATACACCTTATAAGACAATTTAGGTGATGGCATGTTGTTTTTCTGCTATTGAACTGTTTTCTGATAATGTTGTGTTTAATAAAGTGAAGGAAGGAGAGAAATAACGTTTCCCTAGCAGTTTTTAAAAATGTCCCCATGTAATCCGATTAATCGATTAATCATGTCGAGACCCCATCCGATTCATCGATTATCCAAATAATCGTTTGTTGCAGCCCTAGTTGAAACTTGAGTTAAGTCTTTAGGTTAAAGTTAAACTATACGAGTAAGAGTTCAAAAAGTGATAGGAATTAGCAGAAAATTGAGCAATCCCATTCATTTCAATGGGACCAAAAATCGCAGAAAAAGCTGAATATCTCAAAAGGTATAAAATATTTTAATACCAATGGTCATTGCCGGCATAAGCTGAACGAGCTGAATGTTTTGATACCAAAATTGTGTAAATAGCTGAAGAATTGTGGAAGTAGTTAAATGCCAAAAAACGTACGGAAGCAGAATAATAACTAGATCAATTGCATTTCTTACAGAAATGCTGTTTGAATACTGGATAGCTTAAACTGTTAGCTGAATCAGCTTAATAGCTGAACTGAAGCTGAAAGTAAGCAAAACTGTCAAAATGAGCTAAATGTGTTAAACGATGTAGAAGCAAAAATCACTAACAAGCAAATAAAGCACAAAAAGTAAGTGAAGAATGGAGAAAAATAATCCTAAATAGCAAAAAACTGAAATCTGTGAACATTGTATAAAAATCTGGACAGCTAAAATGTCTAAACACTTGTTATTTCAGTTTGACAAGTTTAACAGTTAAATCTTTACTGTTTCAGCCGTTGCTGTTTGCCTCAGAAATCTGACATTGCAGAGGACAATCAGTGCTGCCTCTACCTCCTACCTGCACAGCTGCACTCACTTGGGCTGAACACCTCCAGAGCAGCATAAAAGGGAGAGCTGCCATGAGGAAGGAGAGACTGGATCTGTGACAGTTCTCTCATGGTTTAATGGCTTTTAAATGGGTTTTAGTTCTTTAAGCTTAGTGAAGCTTAAGAGCTTTTAGAGGTTTTTAACAGACGTGGGACCAGAGTGCTGGTTTCCTCTTGGCTCCCAAACTTGTGTGTAAGTCAGTGGACTTTGATTGTGAATGTTTGGGAGCATTTGGATGTCTGTTTTAAACGTAAACAGCAAGAAACTTGAATCTTTGAACATTGATTAAAAACTCGAAATTTTAAATTTTAAACAGCTGGCATTTGAATGAGAATGGTTTAATGAGTACATTTTTACAATTGGCTGAACTGTGAATTTAGAAACATTTGCTGACATCTGAAACTGATTAACACATGTTCAGACTTAGTATTGAATTGATGAATGGTTGGATGAATGAAATGATAAATGGACTGTTGGTTGGTTGGATGGATGGATCGATGGATGGATGGAAGCATGTATGGATTTATATTTGGATGGCCGATAGATTTGATGTCTCACATGTGGGTGTGTAAGTCCATTTAGCCAGAAGATGATTGACCTCTCTGTTGGGGTTATGAGGTAAGCGAATAATTTGTAAGCTTTACTTACTTTTGGATTCTTCAATAAATTCTGTAAATATGGGAATATTTACCCATTTATTAATCAATTAAGATGTTCTTAGATATCTTCGGGGCACCACCCATTCTAATTAGAAAGGGAAAATTAATTAAATCCAAAACCTCTGATTAGTCTGTCTGAAAGTCATAAATCCGTCTAGGAGCAGAAATTTTCAGTCAACACAAAACAAAGTTGCTTGACACCACTGGATTGAATTTTAACACATTTAATGAAATAAATGAATAATAACAATGTGATAAAATTGAAGATATAGGTACTAAAGATGTGTGTATCAAATCAGACCGTGTGTGTGTGTGTGTGTGTGTGTGTGTGTGTGTGTGTGTAAAAGGGATCCTTTGTTCTGCTGAGAGTGGGTGTGCGCGTGTGTGTGTGTGTGTGTGAGAGTGTGAGAGGGGGACCTTCCCCTCCCTCTCGCATTCCACAGGAGACCAGGATGTGTGAAGTTTTTCAACTTTCCCAAACAGTTAGTGACTTAAAAATACTAACTTCCTTCACAAAACTCAGAAAACAACATCAAGAGACACACAAAAGAAAAGGTCACTCCTAGGCAATATCTAATGATCTGTTAAAAGCTGTGGCCACAGCTTTCAACACATAGAAATTAATAAAAGAAACAACCTTACTTCACGGTAATCCGGGTGGCGTTTTGGTCCGGAGATAGAGAAAAAGCGTTGGTATTTTGAAACGGTCTCGCGCTACGACCGCTTATTTTGCTCTAGAAGAAACGGGAAAGATAAAAGTTAAAATGAAATAAAAACTTGCAGGAGCAAAACCTCTGAGCGAAGCAGACGTCCCTCGTCGTTCAAACGGGTTAGATGGCGTTTTCCGTTTATTTCAGGCAGCTCGACCGGCCCACACGTCCGAAGGCAAAAGCCGAGCGTATCTCTTCTTCAACCACCAGCTTAAGCTGGATAACAAAGAGGATAAGTTTCACTTTTGTCTCCCTTTTATAGACTCTGGCGGTTCGCGGGCAGAGACTGTTGTGAACCCGTGCTCAATCAAATTTAACTTTTTTCTAGTTTTAAGTACAGATAGTTCAAAAAGATCAAAAACAGGAGTCTGTTATTGACTCAATATTCTACTTTTTTTATTCATTCCTATGAGACTTGGTTAAAGTGATTTGTATTTCCTTGTGTTGGAATGGTAACAGATGACAGGAGTCTGCTTTAATAAAGCAATGTACAATGTCTCATGACTTTTTTAAACTTTGAATTACATTTCTATATTAAAGTATGTTGATACAGTACTGGATGCTAAGTGAGCCCAACATGTCAACTGTTATTTGGCAGTGATTCTTATTGGTTAGATCAAAAGGGTACAATTGGGAGCTTTCACAGTAAACCTGACTTTTTCTGTGGTGAGGGGGTGGAGCCTTAATTATGTCATCATTTGACTATTGATTGCTGTTTAGGAGTGGATGACAAACAACCACAAAAATCAATTAATCAATTTCCCTCTGGGATTAATAAAGTATTTTTGAATTGAATTGAATTGAATTGAAAAATTTTCGTGACTCTGTGTCCTTCGATGATGAAATTATGGCAATTTATATTTTTTAGCGAGAAGTCAGTGTTAAGCCCGGAGAAGTCCTGCTGCTGAGGTGCTAAGTTGTATCGGTTGTATCAGCCCTGCTATGCAGTTTTCTACCAGCAGGGGGCTCTGATATTGTACACAACATACACGATATGGTTTACAAAACCAATTTTTTAAGTGGCTATAAAACACTAAAGGAAGGTTAAGTTGCTGAAATAACTAAATAAGATGATAATGGCTGTTACAAAGTTTGTAATAATATATTAACAATGTTTACTTTTTAATTTTTCAAAGATTACAACACTTTAAAAGTCATGAATTACGAGACCATCAAAAATGGTCTCATAAACCTATTGGTTTCATAATGCTGGTGTGTAACCTGACAAATAGGTCTCGCAAACCATAAGCGCGCGCGCGCACGCACACACACACACACACACACACACACACACACACACACACACACACACACACACACACACACACACACACACACACACCATATATACAAGTAATGTGTCTATGGTTACATTGTGATTTCTTAGTAAATATTCTATTTTATGAGAGATAAACTTTATTGTATTTATCCTAGTGAATCTATAATTAAACGGGTAAACTAGTAGTAGCACATTCAATGTCAAAAAGAGTAAAATGTTATTATCAGGAGAGGGAGAATGTTTAAGTGGTTAACAGCAGTGTTCTAGCCGATGGCCCCCTCCATGAGGCTACCACAGCTCAGCAGAACATCATTGTAGCTTCTTCTGGGGAGAAAAACACTTAGAGAAAAAAATAAAGTTAACAGCTGAAATAGCAGGAAATAATGCAGTTAAAGAGCAGATTGTAGAAGAAAGCAGTAGAGTGTGGAAAGTGGTCAATATGTCCTCCAGCAGTCTAAGCCTATAGCAGCATAACTACAGAGATATCAAAAAGTGGTCCGAGAGGATTGGATTATGTGGAAATGTCGTTATTTCCTCACACTCTATGCCATAAGTCAGCACAAGGTCTAATGTATGATGGCAGGCATGGGTGGAGCTATGTATTTTTTAGGGTAAAACCAATTGAGTCTAAGATATTACTAAAGGCTACATTGAGGCTATCATTTTCAATGTCTACATGAATGTTAAAATCCCCCTCTACAATGGCCTATCAGTATTGTAGGGTTAGGTAAATTGAGTACTTCAGGAGCTCAATAAATATTAACTCTACTTGTTACCAATAAGCTGCGATACTCTATCTAAATATAGAATATCACCCTGCCTGGTCTTTATTGTGTTTAATCAGAAGATTCTATGATTCTTTATTTATTAGGGGATTTGTACACACTTCGTTTTGATTCAGAAAACAGTCAGGTTTACAAAGGTAAGAATTTATTTTACAAACAATTCAAACTTGACAAACTGGTTAACTATTATTTACTGTGAGTGGATGGAACTAAAGGTGATATCTGGAACCTATGTGTGAATGCAATGTTGGTCAGAATTTCCATATCTCGGAGAGCTGCGTTCTGGATGTAAAAGAGTTTGGTTTGCGTTAAGCTATGAGGTTGATTGTTATCAAAAACCCACATCAGACGCTATCTGTGTGTCTACATTACCCGTTTTCAGAGACCCTCTTGATGGATCCAAAAGTCAGAGAGGTCGGATGACCGCTGGCACCAGAGGGCTGAAGAATACCGTGGTACCAATCCTTTCAGTCCAGAGATGTCTCGGGTCACGACAGATGGATGGAACCGAGTGTCTGGGACTCAAGGAGTCTAAACAATATCACCTTATTCTGCAGGAATTATTATGTTGTATCAGTTTTGCTGGTGCAAAAAGATTTTGACGACGTGTCAAAATCTTTAGTGGGTTAAAGAGGTGTGCTTCAGGTGGCCGGTCTGAAGCTTCTCTAGAACTCAAGAATCACCAGCGTGATCTGATTTTAATGTTCCCAGGTTATGATTGTGTAGCCAACCAAAGGTTGACAAGTTTGGATGTTACCAAGAATCTCAGAAACACACACCTTCTATGATCCGGAGGCTCTGATCTGGGTAAAAGTTTAATTATGTGTCATGGACTTAACTTTACCTTACTTTGTACTTGTGTGAGTGCAAATGTTATGACCATTGTTATGCATGTTGTCAAGTAAACATGCTGAAACAATCATTGAGCGCAGATTAATGAAACATTTCATCATTTATAATTATTATAAGTAGCAATAAACAAACATTTATTTAATGATTATCTAGCTTGTAAATTTTAGAAGTTCATATTTAATTTTAAAAATATTCGTTCTTCTGTGAGCAAGGAGACTTAGATAAAAGGGTGCTTTATCCAAAGCGACTTACAATTTATAACCTATGGGGCATGTTGTGGTCTGTAGCAATAATCGGAATATACTTCACGTAATATCTGCACAAGACCATTCCGAACATGTCAAAGTGCTTGATTTGGACAAAGACCAGCTTCCAACTGAAAGAGCATTGGGACTACAGAGTCCGAGTGATCATCTCGTCTTTATTGGGTATTTTAATTTAGCATCCTCCACCAATTAATGTTAGGTAATTTAATTTAGCATTCTCCAAAGAATATGTTGCGTAATTTAATTTATACTATTGTTGTTATATTACCTTAAACTTAAATTACCTTAAAGGAAGTCAGAACACACACACAGAGGGATTAGATTCTTAATTTAGTAAATTGTAACAAACCTTAAACAAACCTTAAACAGACAACAAACTCTGCAAAGTGTGACACTCTGCAAAGGGTGAGAGAATCAGACCGTACAACACGGAAGCCATTTTCCTCTCACAAAGGAGCCGAAGCTGTGGAGGGGTTTTTATTTGCACATACACACCCAGAAATACCATTAGCGTGAAACCCCTGCCTGACCAGTTTGGAATAACATCTTGGTCTTAGAATGCACAGGAAAACTTCAGATACTGGATCAAAATGCCTAAAGCAGAAAAGAGTTTCCTAAAACACCCAAACGTGAAAACAAATAACTAGGTCAGGGTTTTTTCCTAACCACATTTAAGCAGCAAAGGTGAATGAACTCTTCACATAGACAAAGGAAAAGATTTCACAACAATAATGAACAATTAAAAATACCTAACAGTCTTCTCTGTGAATGATAAATTAAAGCTACATACCCGCTGTGGAATGCTGTCTGTAGTTGCTTCCATCTGTGATCCTCTCGGCTACATAGTGCCAACCGTGCTCAAGGCTAAACTTCTTTTACAGGCGCCGCTCCGAGCTGGCAGCCAGTATCAGCAGCTCTGACCGGACCGAGTCCCTTTTTAATTATATGTTTCTCTGTTGTTTTTTTGAGTTTTTTTGTTTTGTTTTGTTTTTCTATTGTGGAGTGCTGCTCCCCACAATGGAGCTCAGAATTTTTTGGACAATTGTGTTCTTTATCACATTTTTTACGGCGTCTTTGTCTGGAGAGAGCGTGGAGGGCCAATCTCCCATTGTTTACAGCAGGGATCAGCTGTTAGCCCTCGGAGCCTCCTCTGCTATACCTACCGCTGAGCAAGCTAACATCCCCCGCGAGGTGAGGAGGAAGAGACGCGGTACTCGGGCCGGGATCGGGCGTCGCAGTAAAGTTAGGAGGTACCGGCCAGCGATTCCATCTATTATTATGGGGAATGTGAGATCTCTCCCCAATAAAGTAGACGAATTGGCGGCTCTTACCCGACATCAGAGGAGCTACAGGGAGTGCGGCCTGTTGTGCTTCACGGAGTCGTGGCTAACTGAGCTAACTCCGGACTCACACATAAACATGGATGGTTTTCATCTGATCCGGGCCGACAGGACAACGGAGAGCGGTAAGAAGAGAGGAGGGGGTCTGGCTGTGTTTGTGAACGATAGATGGTGTAACTCTGGGCATTTATCTATCAAAGAGAGGCTATGCTGTAAGGACATTGAGCTGCTAGCGGTTAGCATGAGACCGTACTACCTACCGCGAGAGTTTACACATGTTATTGTGATAGCTGTGTATGTCCCGCCCTCTGCTGGCACTGAAGCAGCTTGTGAGGTCCTGCACACTGTAACCAGCAGACTCCAAACACAGCACCCTCAGGCCCTTTTCCTGATCTCTGGGGACTTTAATCACATTTCCCTGTCCTCCACTCTCCCCACTTTCACCCAGTATGTTACCTGCCACACCAGAGACAATAAAACATTGGACTTATTGTATGCCAACACCAAGGAGGCATACAGCTCATCACCTCTCCCTCCCCTGGGGGGCTCAGATCATAATCTGGTTCATCTCCAGCCTGTGTATAAACCTCTAGTACGCAGAGAACCAGTAGTGAAACGCACAGTAAGGAGGTGGTCGGCAGGGGCTGAAGGGGCCCTGAGGGACTGTTTCCGTTCGACTGTGTGGGACAACCTCTGCAGCCCCCTGGAGGATGACCTCAACAGCATCACAGACTGCATTACGGATTACATGAACTTCTGCGTGGACAACACCGTACCCATCAAAAAGATACGGTGTTTTTCCAACAACAAGCCATGGATAAATCCTGAAATTAAGGCTCTCCTCAAGGAGAAGAAGAGAGTCTTTAGATCGGGGGACAAACAGGAGCTGAGAGTTGTTCAGAAGAAGCTGAAATGGAAGATAAGGCAAGGAAAGGAAAACTACAGGAGGAAGATGGAAGAGCAGCTACAGCAGGACAACATCAGAGGGGTTTGGAACAGCCTGAAGACAATCTCAGGACAAAAACCAACCCCCCAGGCTGTGGGAGACTTGGGGTGGGTGAATGACCTAAACAAATATTTTAATAGGTTTGATCAACCACCCACCCCTCCCACAGCATCGTCCCCCCTGCTGCAATCTCCTTTGTCTTCAGGGACTGCCTGTCCTTCACCTCAGGAATTCACACCTCTCGGCTTCACACCTCCCAGCTCCCAGTCATTACTCCCACCCCCGGCTTCTGTGGATTCCATTATACACACCCCTCCCCCAAAACCCACTCTCTCCATCTCAGCATTTCAAGTGAGGAACGAGCTTCGCAAGATCAAGGTGCATAAGGCTGCAGGCCCAGATGGCGTCAGCTCCAGGCTTCTGAGGTGCTGCGCAGATGAACTGTGTGGCATACTAGGTTACCTGTTCAACCTGAGCCTATCGCTTGGGAAAGTACCACAGCTGTGGAAGACATCCTGTGTGGTACCGGTACCAAAGACCTCCCATCCCAAGGACCTCAGCAGCTACAGGCCGGTAGCCCTCACATCGCATCTGATGAAGACACTCGAGAGGTTGGTTCTTAACCATCTGCGTCCCCTGGTGAGGTCTTCATTAGATCCACTACAGTTTGCTTACCAGCCTGGCATTGGGGTGGAGGACGCCATCATCTACCTTCTGCACCGAGCTCTGACTCACCTGGAGAAGCCTGGAAGCACTGTGAGGATCATGTTTTTTGATTTCTCCAGTGCTTTCAACACCATCCAACCACGACTTCTGAAAGATAAGTTGGAGCTATCGGGAGTGGACCACCACATGTCTCAGTGGATACTGGACTACCTCACAGAACGACCACAGTATGTGAGGTCACAGGGCTGTGTCTCTGACACGCTGGTCTGCAGTACGGGGGCCCCACAGGGAACTGTGCTGGCACCGTTCCTTTTCACCCTCTACACTGCTGACTTCTCCATCAGCTCCCCACGCTGCCACCTACAGAAGTTCTCTGACGACTCTGCCATAGTTGGCCTCATCACAGGTGAGGATGACTCAGAGTACAGACAGGGGACTCTGGACTTTGTGGACTGGTGTCAGCAGAACCACCTGCTGATCAACGCCGGGAAAACCAAGGAGTTGGTGGTGGATTTCAGGAGACGCAGACCCACCACAGTGACACCGGTGAACATCCAGGGAGTGGGCATTGAGATAGTGGACTCTTATAGGTACCTGGGTGTTCACCTGAATAATAAACTGGACTGGAGCCACAACACGGATGCTCTTTATAGGAAGGGTCAGAGCAGACTCTACCTGCTGAGGCGGCTGAGGTCATTTGGGGTACAGGGAGCGCTTTTAAAGAGCTTCTATGACTCTGTGGTAGCATCTGTCATTTTCTACAGTGTGGTATGTTGGAGCAGCAGTTTATTGGCAGCTGAGAGGAAGAGGTTGGATAAACTCATCAGGAAGGCCAGCTCTGTTCTAGGATGCACCCTAGACCCAGTGCAGGTGGTGGGAGACAGAAGGTCTCTGGCCAAAATAACATCTCTGATGGACAGAGTCTCCCACCCCATGCATGTAAATGTTGCTGAACTGCAGAGCTCCTTTAGTGACAGACTGCTGCATCCTAGATGCATGAAGGAGCGTTTCCGAAGGTCCTTCCTCCCTGCAGCTGTTAGACTGTACAATCAGAACTGCTCCCAAACAAAACAGTTGTCGGCATCAGTGCTGTAATAACTTCTACAATTATAACTTACACATTACTTTTTCTCAGCTTATACATGCAATAATTTATTGAAGGCTACATGTCTACTTTTTAATGAATGGGTAAAAAATAAACAATCTGCACTCTTTTAATCATCTTAAACTTTTAAAACTATTTTAACATCTTCAGTATCCTGCTATGCTTACACAATATGTGTGCGCCTATATAAACAACTGTATTGTACTCTGCTCTGGTAACTATTGTCCATGATGTAAATAGGTAATAACTGTGCTTCTGTTCTGTGTCCTGCATTGTTTGTATATGTGTGATGTTGCTGCTGACACAACCAAATTTCCCCTTGTGGGACTATTAAAGGATTATTCTATTCTATTCTATTCTTCTATTCTATGCCGAAGAAACCACGGCTGGAATGAAGAAATTCTACAACCAATCAAACAACAATGGATCGACTGGTTAGCAGAACTGGAAAACTTGCCTTCATTTCAAGCAGAAAGATGCATCAAGCATGCAGAGTTTGGAACACCTGTCAAAGCTCAACTTCATTTTGCAGATGACAGCAATAATGGATATGGCACAGTAAGCTAATTGGGACTGGAAAATCAAACAGGTCAAATAAACATTTCTTTCCTGCTTAGCAAAGCCAGAGTGGCACCACTAAAAACAATCACGATTCCCCGTCTAGAATCCACAGCAGCTGTCCTCGCAACAGAAGTGGATAAACTGATAAATGCTGAGTTGCAACTCCAGTGTGAAAAATCTTACTTT